ACAGAATACGCTCCTGGACTCTACTTAAGAAACACCCTTTATGGCAATCAGCTAAAGATCTCTAAGGTCTTTGTGTGACGTTTTTGGACGCCATTTTAGGAGAGCAGACAGTTTCTGACTAAAATAATTTGGTTTTCTACTTCCTTGTTCCTTGTAACAAAACCGTATTACCCATTGTCAAATAGGTACACAAATTTTAATAATTAATAAAGGTTGTACAATAATTGTGGTTTAGTACCTAGTGTGCCACTATCGTCTTTGACAGATGCTCTCTTCAAATGACGTCAGATAACCTGCTGATTGCTTTATATGCTGTGATTCGTGTGTCAGCAGCAGTGTGATAAAAGTCAGGCTGTTCAGACCAAGAGATGGCCATGCAACCTAACTGCAGCAGATACCCTCCGTTTTAGCCTTAGCACCAGCCACAGGGTGTTCCAAATTTTATGAAAAAAAAACATGTCTTTTTAACGCTCTGTATATATTCAAAACTGAAATACAGATAAACAGTTGTATCACTTACTAAAGAAATAAGCTACCATTTAAAAAATAATAATCATCAAAATCGGATAAGCAGTTTGTGGGAAAATTGACTGAATTTTAGGTAATTTTTTAGTGGTGCGTTAATTTTGACGGCGTGTAAATTTAAAAATAAGTAAAAAGTTCGTTTAAACATGGATCTAATATACCTCCTTTTTGAAATACAGGGTGTTTAAAATTTTCTTTCTTAATACACTTAACATTTCAAAATCAAATCACATACATATATGACACTTTATGTATTTTATTTTACTAAATATGGAGTAAATTTATGACAATCTGACAGATGCCAACTAATACATATATAAGAACTTACCTTTTCACTTCGTAAAATATTTATAACCTCTTCATTTAAGCCGCGCTCCAGTAAAAAACTTTCTAAATCCATTGCAATAACGGACGTATTGTCTCCACTGTCTGAACTTGTCCGACAGGTTAGCTTGTTGAAGATTCTGTGAAGAAATTCGCGGGGGAATCAGGGGATATGCGCAACGCAGTGTGCACTTGTCAGTTATAACCGACTATAGTCTGACAACATCTGACTATAGTCAGTTAGGTATCTGACTATAGTCACTTAATATCTAACTATAGTTAGATATTAAGAGACTATAGCGAGTTCAAAATAAAACTCTTGTGGCCCCACAGCGCCTTCGTAGTATATGTAAAGAAGTATGTGATATCGTTGCACATCATAGACTTGACAGTACACTATGGATACAGCCAAAGCCGACTTTCTATACATTATAGCTGTTCCAACATGAACTGCAGAAGCAGCAGCGATTTGCCCTAAGTCACGTGACCTAGGATAAAACCGCCGACATTGATTTAAAAAGAAACTCTATTCTTATTAGGAAATTGACGTTTTTTGGTGCAACAATTACAAAAATTACTGTCAGATCTATATGTAAAATGCGCAATAATACTTAATACCACGTATTGGATATAACAAATCACCCCTAGTCACGTGACGAGAGACTATTTGCGTCTCACTTTACATCCTTTACCCGTTCTGTCTACATTCCATCCATAGTATACTGTCAAATCCATATTGCGCATCTACCAGCTCTCCACGGTCGCTAAAAGGCAGCCCAGGGAAACTTATTGGCGATTCAAATGAAATTTTCCCGCGCCTCGCGTAATCAGCTGATTTATGAACAAGGCAGTCAGTTAGTACGTGGATGGTCTATGCTTACTTACCAAAATCGGTATCGATAGACAGTTTATATACAGGGTCGGAAAGTCCCCATGGTTCATCGGCCGTTACGTGAGAGCGATAAAGTAAGTCATAGAAATCCGTGCGATAGAGAGAGTTGGCGATAATGAAAGCGTCTAATAATCACCGCCCATTTCTCTCTTCCACAAATTTCCGACCCTGTATTTTCTCTGCCAGCACTTATTTGTTTTTCTTTTTGTGATTATTTTACTTTAATTTCCTATTTTTATTTGTTGTTTGTGGTTGTTAGTTGACGAATAATGAGTCTTTGGTATTTTCTTGTTATTATTATTATTATTATCATTATCATTATCATTATCATTATCATTATCATTATCAATATCATTATCATTATCATTATCATTATCATTAACTTTATCTTTATCTTTATCTTTATCTTTATCTTTATCTTTATCATTATCATTAACATTAACATTATCATTATCTTTATCTTTATCTTTCTTTATCTTTATCATTATCATTATCATTATCATTATCATTAACATTATCATTATCATTATCATTATCATTATCATTATCATTAACATTATCATTATCATTATCATTATCATGATCATTATCATTATCATTATCATTATCATTATCATTATCATTATCATTATCATTATCATTAACATTAACATTAACAACATTAACATTATCATTATCATTATCATTATCATTATCATTATCATTATCATTATCATTATCATTATCATTATTATTATTATTATTATTATTAGAATGTACACCAGCGAGGGTGAGGCAATTGTGAACTCTGGACATTTAATTTTGTGTGGAATAACCGAGTCTGATGATAAGTACTACATTTTTCTGTTATAAAAAATTAAGTTCTAATTATTGCAACCTGCATTTTAGGTTTGTACATTGCAGTTATTAAGTTTATGTTTGCAAACCTCAGCTATTACCTCTCTACCCCATGAAATTACTGGCAAATTTCAGGTTGAAAATGATAATATAAAAATAATGGAAACAATATGCTCATGTAAAGCAGGACTTGGCGAAAAGTGTAAACACATATCGGCTATGTTGATAAATTGCTCCAGGTTGTATAACTCAAATTTAATACAGTGTCCCCCTAAAGTCGTGCACAAATTCATTATTAGGTAAACAAAAGAATTTATTAAAAATTCCCGAAACAGGTCGATTTTTGAATTTAATTTACTATTTTTTCAAATAATAATTTAATATACATGGTGACCTATGTTCGAGTAATGACGTCATCGCAATTTTTTTTAAATGGAACACCCCACTTTTTTTCCAATTTTCGGATTGCCCTAACTGAGCTGATTCCAAAAATATACCACAAGTTGCTTCTAATTGTTACAGGGAGGACAACAATACCCAAATTATTTACAAATACTAAATTTATTTACAAATAAATAAACGTACTAAAAATTGAATCAAATCACCANCCACAAAGCGCTTACACCGGCCGCATTTGCCGTCGGGGTAGACGACGGATGGGGCCCATCTACGAAGGCTGTCCAGGCCTACACGAGATGAGGCAGAATAAAGAGGGATAATCCCCCTCGATCCCAAATCATTGAGGCCAATTTCTAGTCATGGAAGAATGGCGCGTGGCGCTCTTAAAAAGTATCAGTATCGAATACTTTTCACATCGATTACTCAGTATTCGTTACTTATCCAGGTAACGGATAAAAAGTAACGAATAATTATAATATTGACATCACTGATCACTACCTTCTCAGTGTTGCGAGCACTATTACTTTCGTAATAGATCTATTACCACTAAAAGCTCCCTATTACGCTATTACGCCGCGACGAATATCTATTACTTTTTTCAATATGACATGACGTTATTTATACCGATGAATGCTACCAATACAACCCTTGCTCAAAGTGAAACTAAATCGCTCGCCATTTGCAAGAAATCTCACTTCATTACTGTTCAATGACTGTCTGGTCTAATCTGTGTTTTATGTTTTATGGTTGGACTTGTATAGTCATAAAGCAATGATACTTATAATACATGTACATGTATTATAAATATCCTTGGTACCCGGGCTGTCGAATTGCCCTGTTTCACGGGTTCTCCACCCGCGGCAGCACACTACAGGACAAATTACCATACCTATATGGAATTACATCTTCACAATTGATTGATCAACTGATCAATAATTTGACGTTTCTTATAAATTACGACATTTTGCATTTAACGTGTTGTGCGTAGTTTGATTCATTGCATTTCTTTGTGTTTCACGTCATTCTTTACTTGCATTGTTGTTTATCGGTATTTCACGTTTAGTTTTAATGTGGTTTTGACATTTATGCTCTAACATTTGTGTTTCCAAATAGTGACACTGGAGCCACCACACTACAGGACATTACAGAATTCTATTTTGAAAATCGGCCATGTCGACAGACAAGTATTACGCAGGCGACGCGATTTAGCAGACTATGGTCATGATGACGGTCGCGAATAATTCCTTAGTGTAATAAGAATTCTTGCCTTTTAATGATAGATGGAGCCATTAAAGTATATTAAAATTACAGTACCTAGGCACTGTAATTAAAATGTATTCAATTTTCACTGTTTCAATGTTTAACTGACCGTTTGCTAGAGAGTATACAATGTTTTATACTTTATTATATATACTGCAAAAAGATAACCCTTTTTTCTAGTAAAACGAAATCTATTACGAAAAGTTGAAATTTATTACTAATTTACAACGACATCTAGTACGAAAAAAAGAGACCTGCTCGGAACGCTGGAACGATTAGCTCCTTCGTTGCGAGTCGTTCGTTCACGGCACAAGATTATGTGCCGGCAGTGCCGGCACATTCGTGCGAGTCGTTCATGAGCGACCCAGCTCTATTTCTTATTTAGAATGTACACCAGCAAGTAGGACAATTAGAAATGGTGAGGCAATTGTGAACTCTGGATATTTAATTTTGTGTGGAATAACCGAGTCTGATGGTAAGTACTACATTTTTCTGTTATAAAAAAATTAAGTTCTAATTATTGCAACCTGCATTTTAGGTTGTACATTGCAGTTATTAAGTTTATGTTTGCAAACCTCAGCTATTACCTCTCCACCCCATGAAATTACTGGCAAATTTCAGGTTGAAAATGATACTATAAAAATAATGGAAACAATATGCTCATGTAAAGTAGGACTTGGCGAAAAGTGTAAACACATATCGACTATGTTGATACATTGCTCCAGGTTGTATAACTCAAATTTAATATAATTACCATATCGGATATTGCAATTGGATAAATTATACTTCATTAATTATTTTAGTTGTTTTTGTTTCTGTGCGTGTTTCTTTGTTTCTTTGCAGGAAAAACCTGCTTGAATTGGAAAATATTTCCTCAACGGATGTGAAATGTGTTTGGGCAACTAAAAAGGAGGCATCTTTAAATAAGTACAAGCCTCAACCAATATCTGATTTTAGTTGTATTCGTTACAAACCCGTAGAAGTTCTGTGATATTTAGTGATATTTATAAATTATTTTTTTTAGAAAAAAATTAATAGAAAATGAAGAATATAAAAATTCTCCTGGGCCTTCAATAGCCATTGATTTGTAATGTACATATACATATAATTTTCTTTACATATTTTTCTATATGAAATAAATTTTTAGTATTCAAGTTGAAAGTCAACTACAAACAACTGATACATTATGCACTGATTTGTATTATATTTTCGAGAATGCCACAAAGTCACCTATCATGAATAGAATTGCTGATATAATTGTACACCCTCAAAGGAAATGTTGTGCTGATACATATCAAGAAAAAATTGTTTGCTATAATATAAAAGATATACCTATGTATAGAAACTTCTTTAAATAGGAAAAAATGGCAAGAGCAGAGGAGGTATTGAATAACAGGATCTAGGTAATTTAGAGTAAAAACATTTTTTTAAATATTTTTCTTTGCACTATTTTAATAATTTTATTTAATTCTCATTTTTAAACCTTAGAATAAAAAAAATAAATATTTATTTCTTTAAATGCTAACTTATACAGAGCGATCCCAAATGATTGAACAGTTGGGGAGCGCAGTGGATATATCTGCCTTTGTCTGTTAGAGACAGGCTGCGTTTCCCAACCATTCAGTTGTTCTGGAGGTCTCTGTAGAAATACATTTGTTTTAGATGCTATGGACTTTATACTTATAAAAAGGGAGACTGGGAAATAAAAAGCGCAAAATATTTCTGGCCTAAAACATTTTCAAATAAGTACACAAAATATGGAAATGCTGCTGAAAAGGAAGCTAGGGATACATATTGCAGGAACTTGGGCAGAAAGGTTTTAACATGTGGATTGATTATTTCAAAATCAAATCCGTACCTAGCATATTCACCAGATGGTATTGTGATGGACAAAAATGTTCCTATTAAATTGCTTGAAATTAAATGTCCATTTAAAGGTATTTTTTAGCATTTTGTTTGATAGTTTTTGTTTAGTTGTTGTAGAATATGTAATAAATTATTTTAGGTCAAGAGCTTACTGCAGGGGCATTGTTTTCTTGTTGCCCATTTTTGAAAATAGAAAATGATCGATTGGTGTTAAATAAAAATCATTCATATTATGGACAAATTCAACTGGGCATGGCAATAATGAATTTAAAAGAATGTGACTTCATTGTTTATTCATCACTAGATAAATCTTTTTTAAATATTGTTGTACCATTTGATGAAGGATTTGCATTCACAATGATGTCAAAATTAAAGACCATATATTTTGAACATATGATATTTGTATAAATTAGAAATAGGACTTTTTAAAATTTCATATTCGAATAATTCAAATAATCAAAATTAGATATGTAGTCAAATATTCAAATTACTGGAATAATTAAGCACATAATTATACAGATATTTTATTTTTAATACCTAAAACTATATTTTCAGTTTTAACTTATTGTGAAAAAACATTCAAATGAAAACCACAGGAGAACACTAATCTAAACCATATAAATTATTCTTTGTTGAATATTTATTTATAATAGTTTAGTAAAGGAATTAAAAATAAACAATCGTTTTAACTAATGTACTACCTAGTAAAAAATATAAATCTTATATTTTTAAATTTAACTTAAATCAACTTAATTACTTGACATAAAAAACCTTATATATAAATTAATTGCACCATTTATTGATATGCTAATACCATAAATTATTTTTTGATATGAGGATGGGGTATAGGGTGTGATGGGAAGTAAAATTCAATACCTACATCATGTTGCATACCACAATATATTTTAAAAATGATGTTATGACAATTCATGGGAGATAAAATTACATTTTATAACTTAACTAACGTTATATATTTACAACAAATTTAATATACATACAGTTTTTTGTATTAATAATTAACAGTATCAATCAAAGTAGGTATGTTATATTTCTAGTTATTGGAGCAGATACATAACAGAATAAATATTTCCCCAAAATGCTTCTCTCAAACACAGGATGTTACAGTTGCATGCATGAGCACCGGCAGAAAAATTTCAGGGTGGCAAGAAAAATAACGTGTAGGTAGTTTTTTCTAAATTTTAATGAAACATTTAAAATTCTTACCCAAGAGAAAACAAATTTTAACCTTCTTCGGTCTTAGCCAAATGTATCCAGTAGTGCCTCGATAAATTGAGTTTTATCGCTTTCAATTTTTTTCCTATATACACTAAGTAAGCATATGCTAGCTAAGCAATTTTTGGCCATCGTTGACCTTAACCAAGTGTTGATCCTTCTTAGTGTACTAAAGGAGTGTTCAATTGAACATGTCATAGGTGATAAGGAAGGAAACTTCAGCATTGCCATTGTTGAGAATATTTAATTTTACTCATTTTATAATTTTCAGGTATAGTTTATCTCATGGCTATAAGGGAATATAAAAAATTTCAAAGGACGCCAACAACAAGTCGTGGAATAGAGTGGTGCAATATTTCAAGCAAGTGACATAAAAATCATTAGAATATATGAATATGTGCATAGTACGTTATCAGAATTCTGTAAATATTGCCTATTTAAGTCATCTGACTCGATATTATTAAAAGCGGGATGGTTATTAAGGGAATCTTTTGTCTCGTCATCAATCAGTATTATTGGTTACATGTTATGTTGATTTTTTACTTCTCTATCTATGAATAACAAAAATAACAATTTAACACTTATAATGTCCTTAAAACCGTTTTTCATTGAGAATTGGTCTGGATAAATTGCAGATTGCACATGCAATAAGAAAAATGTGATCGATTACTTCGATTAATGACCAATCCAATGTATGATTTAAAATTTTAAAAATTTTTATTTGCTGGTTCACTCTTTCAATGTGGACTCTGGCTTTTGCTATGCAAGCATTACTTTTAGCTTCTTCATAACTGTCTTTTTTTTAGAAATGGTGGACGAATTATTTTTATTCCATAATTATTGCAAATATCATCTACCAGAAACCCTTTATCCACCATTATAGCATCTTTATAAGGAATTCATTTTTCTATTATGCCACTCTGCTCAAATATTGCTTTGTCTGAAGCTCTGCCACCATAAGCTTTGCTTATAAACATAATTAACCCTGCTGGACTAACTCCTACCATGTACTTAATAATATTTCTCGATTTATAATGAGAATAACACTTTATTCTACAGCACAGACACTTTGGCTTTTGAACATAAATTTCTGTGCAGTCTAAAACAACTCTTATATTTTTAAAGTTTTCAAAACACTTGGGAAGATTTGACAACACTTCTTCTTTACTTACAAAACTAATGGTGGCACCAAGAACTTTACTTAAAACTTCAAAGAATACAGTTTTGCAATGCTGAGATGACATTCCTCCGAACAAAATTGATAATACTACATGATATATTATTTTTTAATTTTAAAAAAGTTAGAATAATTCTGTCTCTCAATGTCCAACGAGTCGACCGATGTAATTGTACACCCTCAAAGGAAATGTTGTGCTGATACATATTAAGAAAAATTGTTTGCCATAATATAAAAGATATATGTATAGAAACTTCTTTAAATAGGAAAAAATGGCAAGAGCAGAGGAGGTATTGAATAACAGGATCTAGGTAATTTAGAGTAAAAACATTTTTTTAAATATTTTTCTTTGCACTATTTTAATAATTTTATTTAATTCTCATTTTTAAACCTTAGAATAAAAAAAATAAATATTTATTTCTTTAAATGCTAACTTATACAGAGCGATCCCAAATGATTGAACAGTTGGGGAGCGCAGTGGATATATCTGCCTTTGTCTGTTAGAGACAGGCTGCGTTTCCCAACCATTCAGTTGTTCTGGAGGTCTCTGTAGAAATACATTTGTTTTAGATGCTATGGACTTTATACTTATAAAAAGGGAGACTGGGAAATAAAAAGCGCAAAATATTTCTGGCCTAAAACATTTTCAAATAAGTACACAAAATATGGAAATGCTGCTGAAAAGGAAGCTAGGGATACATATTGCAGGAACTTGGGCAGAAAGGTTTTAACATGTGGATTGATTATTTCAAAATCAAATCCGTACCTAGCATATTCACCAGATGGTATTGTGATGGACAAAAATGTTCCTATTAAATTGCTTGAAATTAAATGTCCATTTAAAGGTATTTTTTAGCATTTTGTTTGATAGTTTTTGTTTAGTTGTTGTAGAATATGTAATAAATTATTTTAGGTCAAGAGCTTACTGCAGGGGCATTGTTTTCTTGTTGCCCATTTTTGAAAATAGAAAATGATCGATTGGTGTTAAATAAAAATCATTCATATTATGGACAAATTCAACTGGGCATGGCAATAATGAATTTAAAAGAATGTGACTTCATTGTTTATTCATCACTAGATAAATCTTTTTTAAATATTGTTGTACCATTTGATGAAGGATTTGCATTCACAATGATGTCAAAATTAAAGACCATATATTTTGAACATATGATATTTGTATAAATTAGAAATAGGACTTTTTAAAATTTCATATTCGAATAATTCAAATAATCAAAATTAGATATGTAGTCAAATATTCAAATTACTGGAATAATTAAGCACATAATTATACAGATATTTTATTTTTAATACCTAAAACTATATTTTCAGTTTTAACTTATTGTGAAAAAACATTCAAATGAAAACCACAGGAGAACACTAATCTAAACCATATAAATTATTCTTTGTTGAATATTTATTTATAATAGTTTAGTAAAGGAATTAAAAATAAACAATCGTTTTAACTAATGTACTACCTAGTAAAAAATATAAATCTTATATTTTTAAATTTAACTTAAATCAACTTAATTACTTGACATAAAAAACCTTATATATAAATTAATTGCACCATTTATTGATATGCTAATACCATAAATTATTTTTTGATATGAGGATGGGGTATAGGGTGTGATGGGAAGTAAAATTCAATACCTACATCATGTTGCATACCACAATATATTTTAAAAATGATGTTATGACAATTCATGGGAGATAAAATTACATTTTATAACTTAACTAACGTTATATATTTACAACAAATTTAATATACATACAGTTTTTTGTATTAATAATTAACAGTATCAATCAAAGTAGGTATGTTATATTTCTAGTTATTGGAGCAGATACATAACAGAATAAATATTTCCCCAAAATGCTTCTCTCAAACACAGGATGTTACAGTTGCATGCATGAGCACCGGCAGAAAAATTTCAGGGTGGCAAGAAAAATAACGTGTAGGTAGTTTTTTCTAAATTTTAATGAAACATTTAAAATTCTTACCCAAGAGAAAACAAATTTTAACCTTCTTCGGTCTTAGCCAAATGTATCCAGTAGTGCCTCGATAAATTGAGTTTTATCGCTTTCAATTTTTTTCCTATATACACTAAGTAAGCATATGCTAGCTAAGCAATTTTTGGCCATCGTTGACCTTAACCAAGTGTTGATCCTTCTTAGTGTACTAAAGGAGTGTTCAATTGAACATGTCATAGGTGATAAGGAAGGAAACTTCAGCATTGCCATTGTTGAGAATATTTAATTTTACTCATTTTATAATTTTCAGGTATAGTTTATCTCATGGGTATAAGGGAATATAGAAAATTTCAAAGGATGCCAACAAGTCGTGGAATAGAGTGGTGCAATATCATTTCAAGCAAGTGACATAAAAATCATTAGAATATATGAATATGTGCATAGTACGTTATCATAATTCTGTAAATATTGCCTATTTAAGTCATCTGACTCGATATTATTAAAAGCGGGATGGTTATTAAGGGAATCTTTTATGTCTCTTCATCAATCAGTATTATTGGTTACATGTTATGTTGATTTTTTACTTCTCTATCTATGAATAACAAAAATAACAATTTAACACTTATAATGTCCTTAAAACCGTTTTTCATTGAGAATTGGTCTGGATAAATTGCAGATTGCACATGCAATAAGAAAAATGTGATCGATTACTTCGATTAATGACCAATCCAATGTATGATTTAAAATTTTAAAAATTTTTATTTGCTGGTTCACTCTTTCAATGTGGACTCTGGCTTTTGCTATGCAAGCATTACTTTTAGCTTCTTCATAACTGTCTTTTTTTTAGAAATGGTGGACGAATTATTTTTATTCCATAATTATTGCAAATATCATCTACCAGAAACCCTTTATCCACCATTATAGCATCTTTATAAGGAATTCATTTTTCTATTATGCCACTCTGCTCAAATATTGCTTTGTCTGAAGCTCTGCCACCATAAGCTTTGCTTATAAACATAATTAACCCTGCTGGACTAACTCCTACCATGTACTTAATAATATTTCTCGATTTATAATGAGAATAACACTTTATTCTACAGCACAGACACTTTGGCTTTTGAACATAAATTTCTGTGCAGTCTAAAACAACTCTTATATTTTTAAAGTTTTCAAAACACTTGGGAAGATTTGACAACACTTCTTCTTTACTTACAAAACTAATGGTGGCACCAAGAACTTTACTTAAAACTTCAAAGAATACAGTTTTGCAATGCTGAGATGACATTCCTCTGAACAAAATTGATAATACTACATATGATATATTATTTTTTAATTTTAAAAAAGTTAGAATAATTCTGTCTCTCAATGTCCAACGAGTCGACCATCGATGAAGTTTATCAATACATACCGACTCAACTAACCTTTCTATTGTCTCTAATAATTTAAAGTTTTGGAAACCTGTCATACTGTTTAACTGACCATCTGTTTTTATCAGGTCTGTCACACATCTAGGAGTAGTGGTATTCACTTGAACACATATCTGCAACTTGTTTATCACATAGTAATAGTAAGCTTTGTGCAGTAGTTATTTCATCCACGGAATACTTCGTTCCTTGTGAAATTTCTTCATCTTCATTAGGCACTGCGTCTTCTACGACATGATGTTCTAGTAACTAGAAAATAAAAGCTGTTTATTTCTTGTGATAAAGAAAACTATTTAATTTGAAAAAATCAAACTACTATGTTTACCTCTAATTTTTCACAATGAACAATTGGTTTCGTTCTCAATGTTCTCGTTCTTGACTTTGTACCTTCAATTACGGAATTTTTTGGAAGATTTTGTGAAGGAACTGCATTTTTCTTTAAGTACCTCTTCAAATATCCACCTGTTACACCTAAAATAAAAAGACATTTTTTATTTTATATACCCGACAATTTTAAATTGTTCAATATTACCTAAATATCTGGCACAATAATCACTTGCTTTGAAGTGAAGTGAACAAACCCTCATAAATTTGGATGCTGGTTTACCCATCTTTAACCTTAAAGTTTATGTATATCAATTTTCTCAGACTGTCCAAATTTATTTTCAACTGGAACATTTCGAACACCCCTTTTAGGAAATAGATGAAACGTATTTTTCTATTTCTTGATGCTTTAGAGTCACAGCCGTAAACACAATAAAATGTTTTATTATTACTGGGTGCTTTTTCAGCAAACTCCATTCTCGTAAATTGTTAATACAAGACAAATATAAATATCACTGGTAGAAATGGTCAATTACAGGCAATTAAACACGGCAATAAAGTTAATCAATAATAACAATAACGACAACGAGCGTACAACAGCCACTGAACAGACATAACTGACTGCCTTGTATTGGTTCATCAATCGGCCGCAAGATAGCGTACGGTTAACATGAATCGCCAATATCGATTAAAGAAAAATCATCAAAATAGGAGCCATAGAAGCCGAAATATTGAACGCCGAAGCGCGCGCGCTTTTTTTGAACGCGCTATTTCAACTTCTATAATTCATCCCCTCCCCACGGTTTTGCGGCACAAATGGTCGGCTTGGTGATATTCATTGAATTTTCTTCGTCTTGAAAAAACCTACCAAATTCAATTGTTATTGTTGTTACATTATGCATAGTTTTGCAGCAAGCGCTTGTTGACTTTGACACTCTATATCTCGAACTTATATAAGACCGATTTGAACGTTATTTTTTTTCAAATTAAGCGTCTTTCCGAGAACTGTTTTTTAGTACTTTGGTATATTTTCCAACCCGCGAAACCGCTTCACGAAAGTATTTGTTTATAAAGTCAAAATTTTTCGAACTTTTAAAATTGCTCCAAAATTATTCAAAAAAAAGAAAATTGATATTATAACGAATCTATATGATTGTTAAGGGGTCCAAGTATGTGTAAAAAAATCAGCGTCAATTAAAATGTCTAACTTTAACCCCAGCACTCACATATAAAAATAACGACATTTCGCTGAAATTTAGTAGCAAAACTATCAGACCGATTTGGATCGGGTTTTGGAATTTCGTTTTGTAATCCTTTAAAGTACTTACATCCACATTTATAGTAGAATTGGACAATTACTTGCCTGTCAGTTTGACGCTTCCAAATTACCTCGATTTTCATCACTTTCTTATGTTGTTTTGGTCATTTAGCCACAAAAATATGTTAAGCGCAGGTATCAAAACAATTCTATCTTGTAGCAAATTTCATAACAAACAATTTCATCGGTAATAGTTTTTTCTGTAAACTGCATATTTAAGAAGTTATATTGGAAAATATTAGAAAAAACACGCCATTCTTGAGTATTTGTGCAGTTATTAATTTTTTCTGCAAATAGCACAACTTTTTTCTTAGCGCAACCTTATATTTTCATTGTATATATTATTTTCGACCGATTTTTACTAATATCTAATCTACGTCAAGCAACAGCCATATCTGGAAGGTTTTGAGCTTAATTCTCTTGGACTATAGTAGACGAACGGTCCACCCCTAAAAAGATGCTTAGAAAATCAAGGTCACCGACCACGAGGAGAGGCCAGGATGAATCCTTTTGTAATCAATGCATTGAGTTATTGCGAACAAAAAACCTAACTAACATCTTTGTGTCCGAGTGGCAGGTAATTTGTTATTAACAAAAAAGTTGCACGCTTCCTTTTCGAGCTAGGGGCGATTTAAGGTCGAAAAATGGCTAAAAATTGCCAACTTTAAAAATTCATATCTCAGCTCCTATCAAAGCTTTCGGAACGTTCAAAAGCGCAAAACGATCCTCGAGACTTATACTTTAATGTAGTATTTTTTTAAACCCGCCCCCTTTTTTTTAACCCGTTAAATTTGCAGTTGAATTTCGGCCGCTAGTGCCCACGCGCCACCCCTACGTATCGTATATGTAGATATAACGCTGTCATGCATATAATCGAATAAACGCTATTTATTCATTACTTGTTACAATTTTTACTATTTAGTATTTCTAACACTCATACATATTTTCAAATTCATCAAATATTGTATATCATATAATTATTTATAAGATTTAATAATATGAATATGATATTTAAATGAAAAATAAATTAATTAAACATGCATATATCAAAGGTATTTATTAATACAAAAAAATATATTTACATTTAAATATAAACTTAACTACTTATTTAATAAAAAATCAATTTTCAGTCTCCGAATCAGTATCATCAGTTTGTATTTCTGCATTTTGACATTTTATAGAGCAATTGCAAAGATCGCAAAATTTGAAGCCTTGTGATAAGCAAGAACAAATGTCTTCATCGCTGCAGGGTAACTTTCCACTGCAGGAACATATGAATTTTTGTAACATTTCCATGGCCGTATCTCCTTCAAAATAATTGTAGCACAATACATTATTTTTTAATATCCAGCCATATTGTGTTGGGTCGAAGGATGTTATGCTTGCAGATCTTGCTTGAGACCATTCATTGATTTGCCATTTAACACGCATAACATGTTGTAACAATACAGGCTCTGCCGGAGGTATTGATGATGGTATTGGTATCATGATGATTCGATATTTACTATACTATCATGTACATACTAGCTATTGGGAATAATAAATATTGTATTAAATAACGAATAGCACAAGAATATTTTTCGAAAACTTACCTGCAGTTTTATACAACATTGAATATTCACATACGTTGCATGATTGTTTACAGACTAATAAAGGATTGTTGCACTATGACAGCACAAATGAATATTGTAGAAAATGTATTATTTATTTTTTATACATTATTTGTCAAATGTTCACTGTTATTGCCTGATGCCAGACAATAAACTAATGATCCATGCGACACCCGATCGCTGCAGTCTAATCCATTGCGCTTGTTTAAACAAGTTATAACAAGTAATTCGCATAAGCGCACGTTCGCGAAAACTCGGTTAGTTAATATTTTGGTTGACTATCTATGCGTATCCTTTTATAACATTTTATATTCTAGTTCTAAATAATTTTTTGATATAAATATAGTTATATATAGTTATTATTATTGAAGCTACATTAATGAAGATACAGTTATAAATATAAATCAATATATTTGTAACGTAATACATATTATTTTCCATTTAAATATGATATTCATATTATTAATCTTATAAATAATTATATGATATACAATATTTGATGAATTTGAAAATATGTATGAGTGTTAGAAATACTAAATAGTAAAAATTGTAACAAGTAATGAATTAATAGCGTTTATTCGATTATATGCACGACAGCACTATATCTATATATAGCGATACGTAGGGGTGGCGCGTGGGCACTAGCGGCCGAAATTCAACTGCAAATTTAACGGGTTAAAAAAAAGGGGCGGGTTTAAAAAAATACTACATTAAAGTATAAGTCTCGAGGATCATTTTGCGCTTTTGAACGTTCCGAAAGCTTTGGTAGGAGCTGAGATATGAATTTTTAAAGTTGGCAACTTTTAGCCATTTTTCGACCTTAAATCGCCCCTAGCTCGAAAAGGAAGCGTTCTACGAAAAAATGTCAAGAGACAAAAAGTGTTTATTTTTGCCCAATTTACCTTAGAAAATTGTTTGCAGAGCGTTTTTTTGCAATATTTTTATTTTGCAACTTTTTTGTTAATAACAAATTACCTGCCACTCGGACACAAAGATGTTACTTAGGTTTTTTGTTCGCAATAACTCAATGCATCGATTACAAAAGGTTTCATCCTGGCCTCTCCTCGTGGTCGGTGACCTTGATTTTCTAAGCATCTTTTTAGGGGTAGACCATTCGTCCAATATAGATTATAAACAAAAAATATTCAACTATCAACAAGTTATTAGGTTATTACATATTTGACAACAACTACCGTTACTTGGATTATTTTCATATTTGTCAGCACACAATAATAAGAATTAAATATGTAGTTTTCCAAGAAACAAATCTACCAAAAATTGATATTTTGAATTTTAGTGTATATAACTTTCTATTTGAAACATAATTTGCAGAAAAAACTTTCTCATAATTTTAACATATGTATTTCATATACATACATCTGCATCATACATCTGCCATTCGGAAAATACTGTTCCGCTGATATTGTACATATATCTTGTACAAATTTATTATCTATAATTTTATTAAGAAAATATTACTCCCATCTTGTTCAGCGACATTACTTTATTCTTGTCGGCCATTTCGTTTTCTTATTCTGGTAACTTCATAGTTTGATTGAGACTACACACTATAGTGCCAATTAGTGCATAAAAACGACTTTTAAACAATAGTGAAAGAAGTTATAGTTTTGTGTTCATTTGAAGTGAAACAGACTGTATAATATGTATTAAAATATGTTCATGACAGCTATACATCAGTTCAGATAAATTAACGATTTATGCCCTTTTCATAACATACTGATTCAATTACATATACTTACATTAAAAAGGGACCAGCTTGACGAAATCTTCTGTATTCCAGGCGATATTTTTCTACTGAATCTAAACAACACCTAATTGGATAAGGGCCTTCATTTTGGAAAACAGCATTTGCATGCTCTGGCCTATTTAACAACACTACATCACTACCAAAAGGGCCATGAAGTCGAACTACTGGCCCATAAACATCAAAAAATTTTTTAAAAAAATGTTTATTGCCACCCCAACTTAATATACCACCTGTAATTATATTAATATTATACAATACATAAATCACTTAGCAACACAATTTACCAAAAAACTTCCCACCACTCAGTAAGTATTGGATAATACTAACGGTTACTTCAGCTCCCATAATAGGAATGGTGCCCCAAAATTTCGAAATAAGCCGAAGACTATGAGGTCCTGGGATATCATCAAATGACACAGATCGATTATCAGACACAGCAGTCATTGGTGAAGATTTTGCAAAATTGGTCATAAAAAAAGGTTTCGCCTTAACAGCATTAGTACTAGTAGATGTAATTTTCATATCTGAGATTAATTCATTAGGTTTTATTAGTTTTTGACCTGAAATTATAAGTATGAAAAACAAATATACACATAGAGCAGCACAGCTCAGTCTCGGTATACAGTGTTTCCAGGAATGAAGGGGCTACAAATCAAGAGTAGCTCCTTTAAGGAAAAATAATATATTTAGCTCGTAACTTTAATACAATTTTATTTCTTTGGTAAGTTAAAGAATTTATTTTTTTTTAATTTTATTTTTAAGTGAAATTTGGCATAAGAATTTTGTTTGTGTTTCCGAATACGATTATACGCTTATTTTTACCTAAAACAGTTACTCAGAAAAGCCGTCTTTTTTTTTCTATAATTTATTTTACAGGTAAAGATTGTGAAAAGTGACAGGTGTTTTTACACAATGGATCGTAAGACCTGAATGCTGCTGGTAAATGCACTACGTTGCACAACAACAAGGTGTTCTTAGTGGCCTCTCTAAAGCGTTTTAGGCAAAAAAAGGAGTTTATATCATATTTAACTATCACATTTAAGATTCTTTCTTGAAAAATTAAATAAGTCTTGTAACATTAAAATTAGGTACCTCAAAACTTCATTTATATGGGTTTATTTCATTCAAAGCTGTACATTGTTTCTGCATACCTTGTATGTTTGCACTATTTCATTTAATTTGTTAATATTCAGATCAGCAGTTTGTTTGTTACTTAATTTACTTTCAGAAAATGTTAGGTATATGCAAAGTAGTTGATGAACATTTGTGGCAGTTTCAAATTAGCTGTCGACAGCAGTTGGAGCAAAAATAACTGCATCTCTAATTATGTTTATGATAATTTGTACCTTTAAAAAATCCACGATTTGTGATTTGGTTAAAAGTATTCATTTGTCTGGATTAAGAGTTGTCACAGTTACAGGAGTTTAAATTATTTATATTTTTTTATAGGTATACAGGGTGTCCCATAATTAGTGTGCAATACTTTAGCTGTAGATTCTACGATCAAAAATAAGATTATTTTTTCCTGTAAACAAGGGTCGAAAAATGCTTCCTAAGGGAACTAAGCCCCTCTAAAAGGAGTCTTAAGAGATTATATTTTTTAAAGTATTTCCAAAATCAGTTAACATATATATCATTATGAATTTTGGTATATCGGGCACTCAATGAATGTTCATGAAAACTGTTCTAAAATTTTAGTCAGGGGTGTCTCAGGCAGAGGGCTCACGGGTAAAATGCGCCCACAATTTTTTGCATGTCAACATTTTCAAATTTAAACATCAAACTATGATAGATATGAGTTTTTCACAAAAAAAATGTATTCTTGATTTACTTCGATAAAATGCTTCATTTACGAGAAAAATCGATTTTAAAGTTTCATTACATAATCTCAAGAATGAAAAATGATTACATGAATTGGTAGGTAGGAAAACAAACGTTTGTTCACTTGAATAAATTTGACAGATTACTAAACTCAAATTTTTGCTTTCACTTTACGGTGCTGTATTGATATTAATCTAAAGAAAAAACTTAAAATCGCGAGCTGGCAGACATTCATTTTGTGTATAGATTTTGTAATGGGAGAGCTCTACCGGCACAAGGGGAATGCCAACGGCGATACCTGAATCGGAGGCAACCTGAAAGTAGAATATTTTCTACGGTCCATAGACGATTAACGAAAAATGGATCTTTTAAAAAACTGCGAGGTCAAGTAAGGCCACCAAATGCTTATAATTTTGAAAATGCCTTAAATCAATTTGATGATCATCCTAATATCAGCATCCGCACAGGATCAAGAGCCACTAATATTCCACGAACAACAGTACATAATGAGAAATGTAAGAAACGTGTATTAAAACTAATTCAAAGCTCTCACTATTCAAAGGCTTTATCCTTATCATTATCAAAGGGTACAAAACTTAAGAAATGAAGATTTTGTACTCAGGATTGAATTTTCTCGGTGGGTCATTCAGGCCGAGTATGTATCCCATTTTATCATAATAACAGTTATGTTATTTCAGGGTTGTTAACGTTACCTGTTAAGATATAACATGCATGTTATTGAGGAATTAAGACCATTTTTAGCAAATACTCGTATTGCAATTTTGTTGTTTTTTGAAGACGCTTTTGTGTCGACATTTTTAATAATAATTATGCAAAATTATTATAAACAAGAGTCAGTATTAGACAAAAACACATATAACTGACAGATGTCTTTTAGGTTATGAAACATGAAACAAATGCAAACTCGTAAATAACGGGTAAGTACAACATAAAATAGTTTGTAACACGTTATCTTAAATTATAACAGAGTTTCTTAAAGGCAAGGAATTTGGTGTTGCTATAGTTTAACGTAGGTGTTATTTGTCTAATGAAAATGAACGGCTTGTTAAATTTCCATTTACTTGCCGGTTTTATAAACGCACATCGAAGGTAAGTTGTAAAATTTAAGTAACTTAGGTAGTATATACGTATATGTATACAGCGTGGTAAAAAAGTTCTGCATAAAATTCATATTTTCGTTAAACAATTTTTTTTTGAAAAACGGTGAGACCCGTCGATTTTGATTTGATCCAGGGCACCTTGTTATGTGGAAAAATTTTTTTTTCGATAATCCACTTACGGCAGCGATGACATAATTTTTTTTTAAATGACAACGCATATTTTTTTCGTTCGAAATTGATGACAGTGATAATTATCTAAACAACGGTGTGAAAATTTCGATGTCTTACATAACAATTTTTTTTAGAAAAATGCACCTTAAGTTCTTATAAGTGATAATTGTCTACTTACACTATTAATGGCTCCGAAAAGGACAAAGTTGACAAAATTACATTTCAAACGAGTAAAATTACACTAATGTTTGTGTAAGTCTAGCGAAATTGTTCGAATTGCCCACCCTGTACCATTTGGCATTGTCCTAAGCGTGTGTAAACGCCGTCTACACTTCGTTCAAGCATTCCCGGGTCGATTTAATTTATTTCAAAACGAATACGGTTTTTAAGTTCTTCCATATTTTTATATATATGTTGTAGACTCGGTTGTAGAACATGGAAAATTAAATGACATATTTTTTTTATCGGCGGAAAAACATATTTAGGGGGTGAAATACATCCTCAAAGTTCACCTCCCAAAACAGTTTTTTCTAAATATCTGGGGTTCTAATCAATATTTTGGAATGAAAAATATAAATTGCTTCTTATAAAAAAACAAATGTTTTACATTAGATTCCGTGTTTGGAGGCTGCTACCCTTATTTTTTATTTCAGAAAAACTATATTTTTCAAACATTTTTTATATATATAAAACTTCATATTAAAAAAAATTAAAAATATGATTTATGTAAAGAAATTGAGAAAAAAAAGTTCTTTTTTTAGGGGGTGAACAACCCTCTAGTGTGCTAAAAATGTCTACGATTAGAATTAACTGCAAAATAAAAAGTTTTTACTTTTTCTCTAATCATACGAATAATTTGTTCTATTAGCCGCAACAGATTTAAACTACCCCTCATGGTCACCCCCAAAATATTTCTGTGACATCTCAATATTTTGAAATGAAATAAAATGAAAATTACTTCTTTTAAAAAAATAAAATGTTTCACAAGTGATTTCGTGTTTGGGGGTTGCAACCCTTATTTTTTATTTCGGAAAAACAAAGTATATTTTCAAACATTTTTTATATATAAAAAATTCATATTGATTCAAAATATTAAAAATAAGTATGATTTATGTAAACAAATTGACAAAAATAATTTCTCATTTTAGGGGGCGAACAACCCCCTAGTAATCCCCTAGTGTGCGAAAAATGTTTTAACTTTTTCTCTAATCATACGAATAATTTTTTCAGATGCAAACTACCCCTGATGTTCACCCCCAAAAACAGTATATCTGTGATATAATCGGATTCTAATAAATATTTTGGAATGAAACAAAATGGAAATTACTGAACCCGTTTATTGGGGGATGAACAGCAGGGGTAGTTGATGAACAGCAGGGGTAGTTTGCATCAGTTTAAATTCGTTTTAGACCAATAGAAAAAATTATTCGTATGATTAGAGAAAAAGTAAAAACTTTTTATTTTAAAATGTTAATTCTAGTCAGCACAGAAATTTTTCGCATACTAGGGGGTTGTTCACCCCTTAAAAAGAGAACTTATTTTGTCAATTTATTTACATAAATCATATTTTTATTTTTTTTTTAACAAATATGAATTTTTTATATACCTATAAAAATTGTTTGAAAAATATAGTCTGAAATAAAAAATAAGGGGTAGCAACCCCCAAACACGAAAACACTAATGAAACAACTAGTTTTTTATAAGAAGTAATTTTGCATTTTGATTCGTTCCAAAATATTGATGAGAACCCCAGATATTTAGAAAAATCTGTTTTGAGCAGGGGCGAACTTTGAAGGTGTATTTCACCCCTAAACATGTTTTTCCGCCGATAAAAAAAACGTTTTTTAATTTTTTTGTTTTGTGTGGTTTTTCCCCAAATTCATGGTCAATAAATTAACTTTAGTAGCAAACTGTTGTCATAAAGCATTAATAAGTTTTAATTGTGATTGTTTCGTTCTGCCGGTAGTCGTAGTCTGTTGTTATGAAACATGAAACAAATACCTACAACGTAGAGCGCAAACTCGTAAATAACGGGTACGTACAACATAAAATAGCGGCCGTGTTCCGTTTCATTTCATTACAATTAAATAACATGTCTGTTTGACGGATACTTATGTTATTACGGCATGTTACTTACAAATGTTATTTCTAACAACATTTTAACGTAAATGGGATACATACTCGGCCTGATTAATAATGAAACCTTGCTTCCGTTAATTCTCTGGACCGATGAGGCGACTTTCACCAGAAGTGGAGCTCTTAATTTTCACAATACCCACTATTGGGTACATGACAGTCCGAAGGTAGTTCGGCATAATAATTTCCAACACAGGTTTTCAGTTAATCTGTGGGTGGGGATTATCGGTAACAAATTAATTGGACCAGTTGAAATTCCAAATCGGCTAAACGGTAAAGCTTATTTACATTTTTTACAAAATGAATTTATT